ACAAAAGTGCATAGCCTATTTTCTCTCATGTTTTCTCTTCTTGTTTGTCATTTACCTCTTGAATTTTTTGTCTACGATCTATTTTCTCTTTTATCTTCATCTCATTGAAATATGATGATGATGTAATGTATCACTGACAAGGTTGCCTTCAGCTTTAGTCGAGGGGAGCTGCTAAGGACACGATAAGTGGCGAGGACAAGCTTTTGTTTCCTTTGTTATTTTTTATACCCTTTCACATTATTCATTTTGTCTAGAGGGTGAAGTATTTTCAGTACTTTTTTTTTGAAAACCCGGGGCGAAAGCCAATGTATTAAAGAAAAAAAATTCAAATACATGTAAACATATAAGGCAGGAAAAGAAAAAAAACAACATATAAATCCACCAATCGCCAAGAAAAAACAGCAGGGATGGATAAAAAATAATCAGAAGACTCAGAGATATAAGACCAAAACCTAGACATCAAAATCTATCAGAAGATAGCCAACTTAGCGGCGGATAAAGCTCAGGTTGCCAAAAGAATTCGAAGGCAAATAAGAAAAGAACAGCAGCAGACGATTAAAGGATAAGATGGCCATCACATAACCTCCAGCCGCAAACATCAAAATCCATCCAGTCCCACAGCCAGGTTGCCACACATGCCATCCATAGCTAGAATGGGTGGGTTTGGCCTTGCTCATTATAGTCAGATTATAAAAAATCCAACACCCAAAACTGGCGTCCATCAGAATCTTGCCATAATAGATATGCAACGAATAGAAATCACCCTGAAACCATTTAAGACAAAACAGTCGGAAGACCTTCCCAACAACCAAAAAAACTCTAAAATGAAATTCCTCCTCTCCCAAGTCCCAATGATGCCAAGGAGGCCATAAAGTGATGGATAAATGAAACATATGCAGGTTAATCATAACCAAACTAAGAAAATTCCAAATAATAGAGATTGCAGGCAACATTGATAGCATTAGATACTAGGAAACCTTTGAAACAAAAATTCTTTGTGTTTCCAATTTGTTAATTTGAAACGGATAGCAGTAGAGATATGTCATCGAATTTTTTCTAGAGCAGCCCTCAAATTAGAGAAACAACGGTTGTTTCTCTCCCTCCAAAGATGATAAATGATGCAGCTAATAGATAAGTAAAAAAAATTCATTTCCAATATGCTATATAGCTGTGAATTATCAATGAATTCATAAATCTGAGAGAGGTTGGGTCTCAGTAAGAAGCAATTAAGATCAGGTAAAATAGCCGTAAGGATAGTAAAGGAGATGTCCAAAGAAAAAAATAAATGGGAGTGATTCTTAGGAGAGTTAAGACAAAAGGAGCATTCATGAGATACTGAAATCCCCATATGCAATAAAAGATCAGCAATCTTGAGTTTTCCAATCATTGCCATCCAAGCAAAACATGCAAATCTAAGGGCATGTTTTTTGCACCAAATAAAATTAAACCAGTTAACCTCCAACAAATGAGAGTAGAAATGAGTGATAAATTCTCTGAAGAAAGTTTTGGAAGAGCCTTTCCATAATAATTCAGACTTCTCATTGATGCTAATATCATTGGTCGCAGTAGAAAGAGCATTAGGTAAGCTAACAGGAAAATGCCATTGACCATCTAGAATAAAATCCTTCATAGATTTTTCAGCAAACATATAAATGTTGTTGAATTGAGAAATCGAATTGCCTTGAAGCCAAGGGTCCCAAAGCATAGAAAAGTTATTATCTTGAGACACAGAAAAGGAGATGCAGTCTTTGATCTTTAAAGCAGTAGCACAAATTTTTTTCAAAAACTTGAAGGCATGGGGTGGAGGAGGTTTCCAAGGAGATTCAAATTTAGCTTTATACCAAGTGCTCAAAAAGGATTGAAACTTATAAAACATTCATATGATAGAACAATTAACACCATGATAGAGAGAATCACAGATGGAATACCATGGTCGCCAAAACTTTTAGGCTTGGTAACTTGAGACTAAGCAATAAGGTGCATTTTTTTCTCATTAATGTTGCTATGGAAGAGAAATATAGAGCAAAGTTTGTTGATGGTAGCACAAAAAGCCATGGGTATGATGGATCCTCTTATCCAATAAACGATAGTATTTGCAATAGTGAACTTTAAAAATTGAACCCTGCATACAAAAGAAAGAAACTTGATTTTCCAACCAGTAAATAGAGCAAAAACTTTACTCAGTAGTGGTTGGAAATGAGTAAAATTGAGCCACTTGGAGGAGATAGGAAGTCCCAAGTAAATCATGGAATTATTGATTTGGTGAATACCAAGCTCATCACAAATAACTTGAGCCTCTTGAACATTGTTAAAAAAATAATGGAACTTTTAGCAGCATTGACATGTAGCCCAGAGATAGAACCAAAGTGTTGCAAACAACTATTCAAGCCAACATCTTTTTCATGAGATGCAACCCCAAAAATAAGAAGGTCATTTACATACATCAAATGGCTAATGCATATATCTTTACAATTAATTCCCTTAAAAAAACCTTCAAGAGAGTTATTTAAACAAATAGAGAAGTACACATCATAAATACATCCTTTTATCCATGAAACAAAAATTTCAGGAAAGCCTTTCTGAAGGAGTCTAGCAATCAAGAAATCTCTAGAGACAGAGTCAAAAGCCTTCTTAATATCAAGTTTAGCACAAAACCTCTTATGAGTGCCCTTAAAATCTCTAAGAATCTCAGAGGCCAAAATAATATTATCAGTAGGACATCTATTAGAGATGAAATCAGATTAGCTATCATGAATACTAAAAGGAAGAGTAATTTTCAGCCGATTAGCAATGATTTTGGTCACAATTTTATAAAAAATATTGCACAATGAAATAGGCCTAAAATCATTGATGTTAGAGGCATGAGAGCATTTAGGAATCAAAGTAATGGCAGTGGTTTTAACCCCTTAGGTAAAGAAACAGTAGAGAAAAAATTATTCATCGCTTTAAAAACTTGCAAGCCAATAACATGCTAAGATTTTCTATATAAAGCTTAGGTGAAACCATCAGGTCGAGGAGCAGAAGACTCATGACCCTCCATGGTAGTAATCTATTTAATGATATTCTTATTGTTCTGATTTCTAAGTTTTGCATAGAGAAAATCCATATCATCTTCTCCATTTGTAAGCCATAAAGCTTTTGCTCTTTGAGATATCTAATTCAAGTGTCAGTTGGTATCTTAGCTGTGGTTTGGCATAACTTCAGCATCGTGCGGTGGTCAGGTGAAATTCTGGTGTCAGATGGTGGTTCGGCAGAATTTCGGGCTTCAAGTGATGGTCCAGTAGAACTTCGGGCATCAAGTGGTGGTTCGATAGGATTTCGAGCATCAGGTGGTGGTCTGGCAAAACTCTGGGTCTGTGGTGGTGGTTCGGCAGAACTTCGGACGTCAAGTGATGGTCTGACAGAACTTCGGGCGTCAAGTGGTAGTCTGATAGAACTCCAAGCGTTAGGTGGTGGTCTAGCGGAACTTCGGTCGTCAAGTGGTGGTCTGGCATAACTCAGGGCTTTAGGTGGTGGTCCGACAGAACATCAGGCGTTAATTGATGGTCCAACAAAACTTCGGGGGTTAAGTGGTGGTCCGATAGAATTCCAGGTGTCAGGTGGTGGTCTAGCGAAACTCCAGGCCTCAGGTGGTGGTCTAACGAGACTCAGGTGGTGGTTCAACAAAACTCTTGGCCTCATGTAGTTGTCTGAATGAACTCAGGGCCTCAGGTGGAAGTTCGATAGAACTATGGGCATCAAGTGATGGTCTGACAGAACTTTAGGTGTCAAGTGGTGGTTCGATAGAACTCCGGGCATCAGGTGGTGGTCCGACAAAACTTTGGGCCTTAAGTAGTGGTCTGGCAGAACTCAAGGTCTCAAAAGGTGGTCCGACGGAACTTAGGGCCTCAGGTGATGGTTCAGTAGAACTCCGGACATCAAGTGATGGTATGACAGAACTTTGGGCATCAAATGGTGGTTCGATAGAACTCCAGTCGTCAGGTGGTGGTCCGGCGGAACTCCGAGCCTCAGGTGGTGGTCCGGTAGAAGTCCAGGCCTCAGGTGATGGTCCGGCGAAACTCTGAGTCACATGTGGTGGTCCGTCGAAACTCAGGGCCTTAAGTGGTGGTTAGGCAGAGCTCAGGACCTCAAGTGGTATTTCGATAGAGCTCAGGGCCTCAAATGGTGGTTCGGCAGAGCTTCGGGCCTCGGGTGGTGGTCCGACAGAGCTCAGGGTCTTCAGTGGTGGTTCAGCGGAACTTTGGCGGTGGTCGAGGAGGCAAGAGCGATCTCTGATCTCTCTCTTTTATACTTAGGCTTAGGGGCCCCTTTTCAAGAGGAAGGAAGGGTCTATTTATATATTTCCTAGAGTGGCATGACCCATAAATATGAGGAAAATCAAGGGTAAATGGGGAGTGGGTTGGATGGACGGCAGATGTTGAATCCCTTGATCATGGACCGTTAATTAGAAATTTGAAGTTTTTATTGATGTCTGAATTCCATGATCTTGGGCTCGTTGGATTTGTCTCGTCGAGCCAGCTCGATTCGACTAAGCATGTCAATGTTTGGAAACTTTTTGATAATCAAAATTATGGTTTGAACTTCCTATAGCACTCCCGGGTCCATCTATTTAAGATCCTTTGAGCTCATAATTGATGATTGAATTTTGGCATCGTTGGGTTCAATATTTGCGAGACGTTCAGTTTCACTATAAGTTTGCTGAAATCAGAGTTCAGATGGTCCCAATTTTAATTTCAGAAGTTTCCTACTTGATTTTACCTCGGGATTCGTGCCCAATCAAGATAATTTTTTGATGATGTATCAATCTTATTAATCATTTAAATATTCTAATAATAATTAGTTATTTAATTATTATATATAGTTTATATAATAATTAATTTTTTTATTTTAAAAATAATATTAATTAAACTATTTAATTTTAAATTTCAATTACATAATTTAATAAATTTAGGGTTTGATTTTTATCTTGCCCATTTCATCATTACTAGTGCTTTCCCTCGTCACCATTTCTACGTGCCTGCTTCGGCCCCGCGTGCTTCGTGCGAAGCTTGAAGGCTTCGCGTGAATTTGTGTGTTGAAAGAGTTGCTAAAGAAGCTTCTTCGCCTCCTTCAACGACGACTGATCGAAAGTCACGACGGGAGCTCGCTCGCTGCAAAGGTAACCATTTTTATACCTTTCGAGCGCTTCTTCGGACGAATCCCATATTCGAGGTACCCTTAATTGTCTGAGAGATCAATAAGGAACATTAATAAAAATCCTAAAACCTTTTTAGATACGTGCTAACCCTTCATGGCGTGCTTACGTAATAGTTTTAAAAGGTTGCTTACAAATCAAATAAAGATTTAAAAATTTGTTTGGCTTAGCTCTTTTATTGTCTATTCTACTCCTCAAGCTTGTCTTATGAGAAGCTAAGTGCATGACCGATTGGCTAAAGTATTGCAACACTTCCACTGGCAAGAAGAACAATTTTTCAGAGAGTAAAGTGGTGGAATCTCTTGAAACAGATGATTCTCCGTCTCATCAAAATAGTTGTCGCATTTTGTTATGACAGTAGCAGAAACATTGGCGAAAGAAACAAAATTATACCCTGACTTACATTAAATCCACCTATAGAAACATAAAAAGAAGAATCGGAGATTTTATAGTGCTTCAAATTAATAACATAAAGGGAGGGGTACCATTAATATTAAAAGGCATGTTCTATATAAACAAAGTAGTTTCTTATGACTATCAATATAATAAGTCTTTGTGGCTCTTTAAAAAAAAAAAAACTAAAGGAATTTCTAATCATATATAAAAGATAGACGTATAAAATCATAGCTCTTCATAAAAACTCTCCAAACGCGAGAATAAATTTGTATGAACTAATTGCATTTCTGCTTATACAATAAAATGCATTTGAAATCAATATATAATTCATGCAAATTTTCATCAAAAAATAAAACAAAATCAAATAATGCATGTTTGGCCAATGCATCACTATAGGCTGTCAGTGGTTAAATTATGTAGAAAAAGGTGAATCAATCAAATATTTAGAATGAAATTCAATGAATTGCTTCAACTTCTTTGAGGCCCGCCTTTAATTTTAGATTATTTTTTAAATTTTATTTCTGATTCTAATTTATCCTTTAGTATACATGATAGGCTGTGCATGATATTAATTTTTTGTTTTATGCCTCTGTTCTGATCATTGTCACAAATGAGCTTATTATTCCCAAATTCTTCAATATTTTTATTAGAATTTAGAAGTTCATTGAATTCTTACAAAAAAGTCATAATTTTGTAAGGTATCGAGAAGCTATATGACTTTTCACCTTTTCGTTAACACCTATAACAAACAACCTCACTTTAAATTGATTGATCCTTTTTCTTAAAATTTCTTGATTGTGTAGGTGTAGGCTGAACCGGGAAACACGCAATAATTGACATAATAGATCCAATTTGACTTGTCTTGATGGCGATAGGATGGTTGGTCTTCAGAAGATAATAATCACATTTCAACATAAGATTTGTTGCAGAGACTATTAATAGAGAGACATAAGAAAAACAAGAAAATATGGTAAAATGATATCAAATAATAAATCTTCTAGCCATTGATGTTGGCTTCTTAAGATATTGGATTGTTAAAGCTTCAAGGTAATAACATTTGTAGGCTAAGCAAGGGTTGCAAAAACTTTTCTTAACTTTCTTAATCAAAGACAAATTTCAGAAGTCCATACATAAAGCCCAATTTATAAAGAAACTAATGTGTAATTAAGTATATAGATCATTATATTTCATTCAAACTAACATTAAAAATTAAAAACACAAATGAAAATTTGGTTAAAATTAATAATATGTGGATAAGAACTTGTATTTGTTAGGTTCGGTAATTTTATTGCTTTATTTAATTTCTTGAGTTTGATCTATGAGAAACTATACGTATGAACCAATTGCTTGATGATTTTGTATTATCAGGATTTAGTACATTTTGAGAGTGCTAAATTCTAAAAATTATTTGGTTGTAAATATATCTTTAATCCTAGTTAAATTTAGAAAATTATTTGGATACAAATAAGAAGATTTACTAAATTCTTATATCCTACAATTTCATATACTTTAAGTACTGAAGTTGTTAGGGTTTTTTAAATTAGGAATTTAGGCCAACTACAACTAAATCCCCTAAGTGTAGCAGTAAACTCTCTTGAGTTTGTAGGCTTTATTTCGTTTGTTTTTGAAGTTTATTGAGTCTTCATTTGAGCTTCACTTTATACCTTACTCATATATGGGTCTATATGTCTCCCTCTAGAAGAATGGGGATCAACTCCATAGAGCTTGCTGGCCCGCTGAAAGCTCTTCCTCCAGTGGACTTTTGTTGTGCTTATGGTTCCTCTCTCCTTTCCAACAACACAGACAAGGTCATCCAACTTTTCACCATGAACATTTCTCTTTCCAATTACTTTTGTTAATAGTTTAATTATGTTTTCTTACAGTCTTCTATGGTGGACTATATCATAGGGGTAGCAGACCCAGAAAAATGGCATGCAGAAGTGTGTAAATGCAGATCTTTGAAAGGATTATTTCATTTTTTTATTATTATAGAACCATTCTGATTTGGCATGGTCCAATGTAGAATTTTGAAAGGAACAAGATCCATTACTCGAGGTGGATGTCAATTCTAGGGCCAAAAATGGTATGCAGCCTAAAATTCACCAAGCGTCTGTTACCCATTCCTATAATAGGTATAAAGAAAATTAGCGTTTTAAGATTTTAATTTTTTTTTTGCATTTGTGGTGTAGATCACTTGTGTTGCTGATAAAATTGGGGTTGGGGTTCACTTCAATCCATTTGTGGAATGGAGAGACAAGGTTTCTTTCTAAAAAAATGAAAATTTTATATATGTTTATCATTTTTTATGTGCTCAGTATTGATAACTTATTTAATTTTACTTTATGTTGATTTACAGATAATAAAATATGGTGTTGTGAGGATGCAGGATTTGGCACTGGATATATTGACTTGGGATAGATTCTATCTTAGCGGTCGTTTGCAGAAACCTGTATGTCATTTTTTAAGTTGTGTTGCTTGATTATTTATTGTTTTTTTTTGTTGTGTTCTTGTGTTCATGATCAGAGAATTAAGATTGATTTAAAAATTCAAACTTTAACTATCCCATCAAATCTATGGACATTTTGGTTTTGTGAATAGTGTTTTCTTTTATCTACTTATGGCTTTCCCTTTCTCTATCCTTACTTGCTCGTATGGAAAAGAAACTTAGCATTTTTGTTCATGATGTTCTTATGATTGGTTTTGTGCTATTTATAAGCTCTTTTGCATATTTTATACCTCAGCAATCATTTACATCATAATCATATACATTTCATCTGACGAACTAGAAGTTATAGAATAAAAAGTAGCATGCCCAATGCATGAAGCTTTTGCTAATATAAGCTATGGAGGAAGGGGTTGATGTGTGCATTCTTTCCTCCTCTTTTGGCGAGTATATTTTCTTGACTTGAATTAGGGGCCTCCAAAATATGTTGGCACCCTAACCACTACTCTAGACCTATTCTTTGCCAAAAAAAAAAAAGGAAAAATTTATAAATGAGGAGGCCCATTAGAGATCCTTCAATTTATGGATTTAAGTATAATGTCCATTCTACTAGATTTTCTGGTGTATATTGTTAATTTTATGATAAATTACACGTGGTTCCCAAGATATATAATACACTTCTTATTGGTCCGCATTTTAAAAAGACAATAATTAGATCCTTGAGATTGAATAATGTTACATAAAGGTCCCTATCATGATTGTTTTGTTAAAAAAAATCTTTTAATTTCTTAAAATAATTTTATATTGTAAATTCATCTGGAGCCTTATTGTATTGAAACACGTCTTTATAGCGACTACACCTTTCGTATCCCCCTGTACTTCTTTTTATCATTTTATATGCACTCTTATCTTTATCATCCTAAATTTTAGAATTTTTTTGGATTGTATTTGTTATGTGGGCTCTGGCTGTTTAGAGTTTTGAAGAGGATTCATAGTTTAATCAATTAAGATTTAACTTATTTATTTTAGAGTTTTTTGCACACATTTGTAAAGGGTTTCTTAGTAAGTTTCTAACTCGCATTTGTCAAGGATTTTCCAGCTCTCACATCCTTTGAGTTTTCCTTTTTCTCTTTTTAATTGAAATTTTCATCCATAGAAAGATACGAAATTCGAAGTTGGTAAAGGTTTATGGTTAAGTAAAGAGTGTAACATTCACTTACAGATCACATCCATGATCATGGGCTCAAGGCTAATGGAATTGGCTATCGTTGTTATGTTATTGGTGTGAAGAGTAAGACCGAAAGCTGACTGAGGGAGTCTCAAGAAAATTTGAAAAAATGTTAGGTACCTACTTTTTATGGTAATTTTAAAATGCGTACTTACCTGAAACATGATTTATACCTCAAAGACTTGTGTAACTTTAATTTTATTATATTGATATTATTGTTTGTATAACCAAGGGATGGGAGATGAGCCCCTTTTGAACCTAATTGTAATAATTTGAAATGTGTACTTACATGAAGTATGATCTCTACCTGATGCAGGACTACTTAGATGACATGCCTATGGCTTCATTTTGGGCCTTGCACAACTCTTTGATTAGAATAATTTTGGATTAAAATTATTAGCAATTATCAACGTCGATTAAAACAATTAAAGAGATGCTTTGCGTAGGCTAAATCACATGCTCCTAGCTTTGAAATTTTCAAGATAGATAAGACAATTGAAACAACGCAAAATAGTAGTCTTCAATTTAATCCCTAATCTAACAACGAGACGTAGGATGCATAGAAGATCACACTCAATTCCTACGAATGACTAAGCTTGGCAAGAGCAATTGAAGGAGCTTTCGTGATTACAATCAACCAATTGAGAATTTAGATTTAGAAGAAACTGAATACAAGTAAAAGGAAAACCTTTTGTTAAGAAGACTTTGAAATCCTCCACTCAAGACCTTCGAAATGCTCGTCAATGACTTCCGTCAATTGGAACAAAATGCGATCCACGTATTCTTCGATTGTGTGATCGATCTCCGGATTCACTTCGAAGAATGTAGAATGGAAGATGTCGGTGTAGCCGTCGTCGTCCCACGTGATACCGTACTCAGTCTCGGGATCCGCCATTCATAGGGATAAAAGGTTGAAGTCTCTCCACTGTAGTGAAAACTCTTGAAGATTATCAAGGCCAAGAACTTCCCTCACGTGAGATGAAGAAACAACCTCAAACTTTCTTTCCAAAACCTGAGTTAAATCTCAGATTATTGCTTAGGAAATAGAGGTGGGGAGGGAAAGAATATTGATTAGAGTTCAGGTGGAGAAATAAAAAGGAAGAAAAAAAAATCTGGGAGGGAGAAGGGGACGGGTCAAAAGAGGAAAGAAGGTGAGATTGGCGGTGGATTGAGAGGCGGTGGGGAGGGATTTTGATTTCCTGATTTAATGCCTTGAATTAGGAAATCAAATGACGTAGGCAAGGGATAGGGAATCTTGGCTGATTGAAGAAACAGAAATTTGAAAATATTCCCTAGTGGAATAAGAGTCCATTAGGAAATAAATCTTTATTAACCGAGAGAGGGGGGGCCGGCAGTAAGCAGATGCTAAGGGGAGTTTAATGAGGATAATTAAGAATCCTTGATTTGGGTAAGGGCTTTAGGAAAGTACTATTTTAAGTCCAATTTGAATTTCAAATAACAAAAAGAAATAGAAACTTACCTAAAATAGATTTTATTAAATCAGGAAAGATTTGAAACTCTCAATGATTAATTTTAAATTTCAAATCTACCCACATTCAATTCAATCTAAAATAGGAAACAAACTCAGATGAGGGAAAAGGGGTGTGGCTTGGTGGCTAGGGAGTTGGTGACCGGCGGCATGGGAATTAGGCGCGGGTTTGGCCGTGAGTTTGAGGGGAAGTTGAGGATGGGAAATTCGGGTACTAGGGAATCCGGCGGTTGGGTGATGAGGGAGGAGATATGAAAGAAGCAACGGGAAGAGAAGGGAACGAGATAAACAACGAAACCACGAACCCGACTTAT